ATCAAATTAACACTTTCACTCTGGAAACTTCATTTAATTAGCGAATATTTTTCACTTTTCCTTCTAAATTGACGCTCTACACCGATAATGTAAGGATTATCTGAATTAGTTTTAATTAAAACTGAAATTAATGTTACATTGACTCAAACAAGATAAGTTGTGTTACTAATTTGCAACCCTGTATGTAATAAATAACTGTTGCAACATTATCTACACCATTCCAGCACTCATTTAAAGTGTTATCAGAAGAAATAATTAACTTAAAAGATCAACAAAGATAATAACCATAATATCTTCCACCCAACGTTTATAAGTAACTATGTACTTAGAGTTAAGAGGAAATAATGAAGCAGAAAATTAACTGAAGAGAAAAATGATCTGTTCTTACTTTTGAGGCCTACTTTGTAATCATTGACAAAGACAGAAAGGTTTCTCAGAATCAGATATTCGGCCTAAAAGATAAAACAAAATTCGTTTCAAACGATAAACATAAATTGCTTTTACACTTACTAAAGTGTGCTACTTATTGTCTTTTTTATCAAGTTAATAAGCAAATAAGCTATGTACCACTAGCACAGTCTGAAGAACGTAGCTACGAACAAAATTTTGTTCCAAAAGGTATTATGATTTGCTTTTAATATTACTAAAGTATGCTCCTGAAATAAGTCTTTTCTATTAAGGTAATATCATAGCTTGTCTGAGTGCCACTAGCACAGTCTACGAGGCTCGAAGCGACCTCTGTGTCGGCGGGTCGACGCACTTTTGACTTTGGTTCTATCGTACGAGGCGAATTATGTACGATTAGTTTTCATTGTAGCGTTGTTTACTAGATGTGCGGAAAAATTCAGAACGATTAATATGACCAAATTGACAAAAACAAGGAGAAAATTACGCGCTAATAGTAAAAAGAAAATTACGTAGTAATTTAGCTATCTGTCTCATTCACTGTGGTCGTATGAACTAGAAGACAAAGATGGATAATAGCGGTTCCTATACAGTCTTTATTTACGCTGAGTTGCACCACCTAACCTTAACGATAACCGGTGCTTTTTGTATGGAGCCTGATAGATTTTTGTCGTTTACTAAAGTTAAAGTAAAATGGTGCAACCCAGCCTTATTTAAGCTTATGCACTGTAGTTAGTGCTGATTTTTTAATCGTCGGATAACTTTTAACTGAAGAATAAGTTTGGCACATTGACAGTTTCAGTATGGGAAATATGTCAAAATAACAAGTTTATTCTTCAATTAAACGATATAGCTGACGATTGAAAACTAGCATATCCAGTAGCTATCGACTCTCCATTTCTTTTCAATGTGACTACATAAGGTCCTCAACCCTGTAACCTAAATGCCACCTTATTTTTGTAAACAAGTCTAAAAGTTAAAAGTTCGAGCCGAATATATCTTTCACCTTTATGTCAACGAATCCTTAACGTAACCTCGCTTCTTTCGACATTAACCATGTCATTTTAGAGGACACAATGATTACAGTCACTGGTTTAAACTCGATTCTTCTCGCAAATTATGTATGAACTTTGTTTCTTACTTTAGCCCCTAATGTCCTTACCGTGTCAGCGTGTGAAGTACTTGACATAATTCGTAAAAACCTTAAATAATTTTGCCATTCGTCCTTCTCTCAGCATGATTGCTGCTACACTCACGTAGATTTCATGTCAGAGAGTCTCTAAGTGAACGGTCGTCTAAATTATCTATCAATCTATATCAGCCTTTGGGGGTCTTGTCTTCGGACTTCTGTCCCTGACCACCCGCATCCAGTTTACTCCAGCCTGTTGCCGGATCGTCTGTCCACCGTTTAGTCGGTCTTCCTCTGCCGCGGGTGTTGTTGCGGGGTCTCCACTCCAGGGTCTTTCTGGCCCAGCGACCGTGGTTCATCCATGCAATGTGTCCTAATTATTCCACAACACTATTGTCTTATAGTTTCACTATTGACTTAAAAATTATGGCTTTCCTATGTAATCTTATTCGTCATCTATGAAGAATGTAGCCCAATTTCTTCTGGTCCAATCTGGTTATTTATTTACCAAAAAATATGAAAATCGGTTTGAATGTTTCGGAATAAACACGCAAGAAATCTAAAAAGACTCCTTATTATGCTGCTACAACAAAATTATGTAGCAAAAGTACCTACTTGAGTCAATGAACCCAAAGTTGTTGGAGAAATATCGTTTCGCACTTGATACACTTTATCAACAATTTATTGTTATGCTAATCTGGCACTTATCAGTATGTTTATGTTTGCAAATAATGTTAATAATCATATTACATCGCTGTACGACATTTTATGCATAGTTTTGTCATGGTACAGCCACTGAATTCAATTTATTATGAAGTTGACAGCAGGTACTAAGGAGTTTCATATAACCTTTATTAAGATTCAACGTACCTATTTGTATTGTAAGCAATTATTAGCACAGTAATAAGATTACATTCCTCGAACTTGCTTCCTTAACTTTCCAATGTCAATCTAACGTAATAATATTTACGTGTATTTTTCCTGTTATGCCGCTCCTTACATTTGATGAATCAAGAAAAATATTTAGCTAGAAAATTCCAGAGTGAGATCGATAACCTGACAGCAATTTTTTTTATTAATAATTTTGTTATCCTCATAGGTTTGCTAAAGTGATAATTCTATTACAACAGGTGCTAGCATTGAGACCTTATTTTCATGGTATTGTGACTTGAAAGCAAAATAGGACAAGAAGCATAGTATAATCGCGATAGTGTCCTGTAATTTTTATAAACGTCTTAGGTCTTTCTGCAAGGTAATTCCCCTGAGCAACCTTGCACCGGGAAATACCCGCTTTAAAGATATTTGCTGTAGCTAATTTTATTCTTTAATTGAGTATTGAGTATATGTCGGCCGTTTGGTGTAGTGGTTCGAAACGGACTACTATTCCGGAGGTAGCGGGTTCGATTCCCGCACAGTACAAACATTTGTGTGCATGAACATATTTGTTTGTATTGGACTGGGTGTTTTCTATGTATAATAAGTATGTATTTACAAAAAAAAAGTATTTAACACTAGAGTACACGCGCGGACTACTATAGTAGACCAGGGTAACATTTTACGCTATAACTTTTTGAAAACTTGCGCCAGAGAGCTGGCATTCCAGGAAAGCCTCGTTTACTAAATTTGTCAGTAAACCAGTAAAGCTTGGGTCGCTAGAGTCTGCGCACTTTTCTAAAATTGGCTGTCAAATCTGCGGGTCTGCTCAAAAGCCCGAAATCACTTGACATAAAAATTATGAAAGACTTGCAACAAATGGATTTACACCATGTACCAGGCAGTAGAAAGTCATGAATACTATGACAGATAAAAAACTAATCATATTTTTTCAGTCAATTTTTTTTTGTTAACATTGGTCTCAGAGTGCAATTTTGGTCCAAAAAATTTACAACTTTTAAATCTGTTTATAATGTTTGATCCCAAATAGTTATATAAAGAAACTTTGTTTATAAAATAACTATAATAAACACTTTTATCATTTACATAATAATTCTATACATAAATTGCTTACAAACTGATTTACAGTGATTTTAAATTGGCTTACCAGAGTAGGCCGCGCGTGTATTCGTGTAAAAAAAGGGGCGCGTGTACTGCAGTGTTAAGTATGTTTATATCCGTTGTCTAGTACCCATAGTACAAGCTTTGCTTAGTTTGGGACTAGAAGCGCAGTGTAAAATGTCTAAGGATATTTATTTATTATAAAATTTATTTTTATGCCAATTATATCTCAGGGTCATTCGAAATTCCGCGGTTTCCTAACAAATTCTACCGCCCACATAAAATTTCTTTTACCGTTAATTCATTTGAAACCTTTTTGTGACCAAAATAACTTTGGGAATTGCTTCGTAAAGGCCAGCCGATTTACTAATCATGTTTACGAAAATAGGTACCTACTTATTATCGGCGGAGTGAAATTGTTCGTAGTATTTCTAAAAATAGATCTGAGGACTACCTTTAGATATTTGATGTTGCCATCATATTGGGATTCTCGGATTTCATCATATATTTTATTTTCCTGTGCTAAGTAATACAGGGTAAATGTAACAGTTATTATTATTTACAACGTATACCGGTATTACATATTAATCCAAAAAAGAAGGATGTTCAGAGAGGTAAAATAATTTTCCAGAGAGGGACTAATTTCTTTATTACTAGGCGTTTGAAAATGTGATATATTAGACGACAGAAAGACTCAATAATACGAAAACGATTTTCAGAAATAGCCCAAAAATAATGTAACTAACACGTACGGGGCCGTACTATTTATTCTGTGATACTATGTCAATGTAAATACGTTAACTTAAAGCGCAGTTACTTCTCTCACACGCACAATACACACATTGTGTGGATATTAAACTTTTTACATCTCTCGGTTAGTATGCTTATTTAAGTACTGATGTTTACTCTGATTAGTTAGTTTTGTTAAATTCACACGGTGAACATGTACCTATTGTATGAATGGATTTAACTGCCGGTCATATTCATTAATATCTTTCCTATTTTTCATAATGAAGTTATTATAAGATAGTCAGTTTGGGCATTGATTGTTATATTTCTATGTAATATCAAATAAACATAATATATCTGTGACAGCGTTGTGTTATTTATGTATTATGAAATGGATAAAAATGATAACAGTAATGATCCATAGTCTACCTTGATTTTGATAAAAATATTGCTTATCACAAACCGCTATTTGACCTAATAATTGTGTTGGTAAAGAGTGCGCACGCACTTGTATATTCAACAAAGTTCAACAATGAATATTATGTATTAAAGCCTTGATAATAGTAAATAAAGGTAGCAAGCCTGTAAGTAATGTAATGCTAACTAATCTTCACATAATGAGATAGGAAGTAACATTTTGATAGCCATGTGCCAAAATAGTCATGTTTTTAACTGGGCTAGGAATAAATTAAGTTGTATGTATTAAGTACTCAATAATTAACCAATTGTGTTTTGTTTACAGTTAATCTAAATGGAGCTTCAAAAGTGGACATATCACATTTCGACTTGCTCAAAGTCCTCGGCACGGGAGGTGAGTGTTGTTTTTTACATTTATTCGTACTCTATATTCCGTAAATTCAATTTTGTACGCAATATTTGGCAATATTGTTTAGAAGGACTCGTTTATTTGACCTGAATTTGATCACGTCAAGCTTTCTATCGTTTGGCGACTGTACTAGGTATTATTGATTGATTGTATGAAAGTAGAGTTTTTAGATAGAAATAGCATAGGCGGTAACATACAGTCTAGCAGAATCTAAATTACAAGTTATTCAAAAATGCAACCTACCTCTATGCTATCTAAATCGGCATCAGCTGGCTCTCCATTCGTAAAATTAAGCCATAAACTGTCAAATTTGCTGACAATAATAAAATAATTGAATATCGCACCGTTGGGTTATTCCGTATTCGACCCATGATAACTCAACCCATTTCTTCACTCATCCCAAATTAGTATTCCTAGCTCTACCCATTACAGATTTTCGTTATTCTACCCAAATGCATTCCTCACTCAACCCAAAGTAAATATACCAAAAACAAGTATGGATAGCAAAACAACGTTTACTATTTGTCCAGAAATTTAATTATGATAAATACATACTAGTACATTTATTTTTATTTAAAAAAAAAAAAAAAAAAGCCCTCATCAAGAAACTGAGGGTTAGTTGAAATTTTGTAAATACTCAATTGACCTAAATGTTCAATATGTGATTCTGCAATTGTTTCTTCAATGCACTTTTACTCACGTTAAGAATATCTACGTCTTTATATTTAACATTATAGGTTTTAGGCAAACGAGCCAACACTGCATGTTGGGCATAATAGGCTAGTTGCCTAAAAAAATTTTTTTAGTCCGTAATGTTTAATATCAAAAAATATTGGACACGTATATTTTTATTTGTCAATCTAACAAATAATTACATAGTTATGGTGCGTTGAAGTTGCGCACGACGTCACAACGTGCGGCATTTTTAAGCAAGCGTTGACGTCACGGGCCTCTTCTTATGAACTTTGGGGCGCTTTATCTCTTTAAATTTTCATTAGTTTCAAAAAGTGAAAAATACGTGTAGAGTATTTTTTGATAAGTTAACTGACGGACTAATTAAAACTCTTGCTTTTTGACCCAGGCAACATCCCCATTGGTACTGTGCTTAGGTATGCTGAATAACGGTGTGTGTCTAGTGCGGTATCTGGGAGTGCAAAAATTAATCCCCGAAAGAAGGTTAGGTACATCCAAATTACCCTGAGTGATGTCATATAACAAGCACATTTCCAGAATCTCACGCCTCGATTCCAGTGACAAGAGCCTAAAATGAAGACAGTCCTCTAGATAACCTTTAGTACGTCTAGATTGTCTGAAGTTCAAATGCTTAACAAAGAGTTTCTGGATTCTTTCTATGCTGCGGATATATTTATTATACTGAGGAGACCAGATAGGACTTCCGTACTCCAAAATACTGCGACAATATGCAAAATAAATAGTCTTAATGATTTGTATATCTCTAAATGGCTTGCAGATTCTCAAAATGAATCCCAAGTACCTTATCCTTTTTAACTGTGCCCTAGCACTTTTTGATGCCAAATAAAAATGGTTTTGAAGTGCATTTTTGTACTAAACAGGTGCACCAAATGCCAACATTAACCACCATTGGCCCTACAACTTTTCAAGGCGAGAGTGAATAGGCACTTGCAGGTATGTACCATCCTAGACTGCATCCCACTTAACATCAGGTGCGATTGTGGTCAAATACCTGTCATGTTGTGCATAAAAAAAAACTTGACACTCAACACCAACCCCAATTGACCTCAAGCTCAACCAAAGTCAACAGTATCATCAGGAACAGTCCACACTAGGGTGGTCAGTCCTATGTGAATGCACCCGGTGCATAACGGTTGAAATAATCGCAACACCGTATCGGATGGGGTTGCTGAACTCTGCCTAACATTTTTTCTGCGTGTGCATGCTTTGGTTCTCATTCTAGTATGTAGTAAATTAGTAGTAATACTTCTTGGCAGTTCTTGGGTATTTACTTGTAATGGAAATGGAAGAGATGGCAGGTTCCATTGTGTGTTAGTCCCAAAATTAGGACCGTACTGACCTTTACAGTAAATTAAGATGAATTCTATCGCGTAGGTCGTATAACAGCCGAGGTTAACCCTAATGTCAGCCTTTATGAACCGCCTTTTCTATGTCTGTCATCGCTCAATCTTCAACAACAACAAAATTGTCGATGTTCTTCAACGACAGTCAAAATGGTTGATGTGCCCTCTAGACCAGTGGTTCTTAACCTTTAAGTCACGAGGGACCATTTTACCAAATTTCTGTCTTGTCAGGGACCACTTTTTTTTTTCAATATCCTATGAAAGGGGAGTTCGATGTCTCGCCCACTGTGCACCGTTTGCGTTGTGTTGACTCGACTCATCACATCACGTTACTGTTTATTACGATGTCTTCGTGGATCACTTGGAATGCCTCCAGGGACCACCGGTTAAGAACCACTGCTCTAGACTAAAAATCTAAAGCATGGATTCACCTTTCAAGTCAACTATTTTCTTATCAAACTTGGAACAATTTCACCAAGTTTTCTAAAACTAAATATCTGCTAAATGAAGTAAAAACATAACCAACACAGTTACTGGATAGCAGTTGGTTGTTAAAAGAACTGTGGCATACTGGTCACACTGTAAACCATTATCTTATTATGCTAAAAGCATGTGGTTTATTTTTTCGAAATGCTGTATAATTTCTCTACATAGTAGAGGAAGGGGTGGTAATTTGGACTCTGCTGTTTTTTTGGAACCCTTTAATATCACAGAAACAGGCAGTAACATCTACCAAAAAACTATGTAACTACGTTGTACTGATACCATACAGCATATTTGCTACCAATAACGTCGATTTTGCATCGAATTTGATCTGTCACACACAGCTAACATTTCACGTCAAAATCAAACGTTTTTTTCTCTCCTTTGGAAAGACTGTAAAAGGTTTTTGTTTTAGTATAAGACAAATTCTGTGCGTGTTATAGGGAGTCCATACAGACTAGTTTAGATTGTCGAAGGTAAGTTTTAATGTATCTTTAACTAGATGTGATTTTCTTGGTTATTTGTTAATTTTGTTAGATTTTGAATTTGGAACCCTATAGGTGCGGGTAGTATGGAACCGGGAACCAAAGAACAAAAAATCTACCAGAGGCCGCAAGTCGTCTGCCGCTACTTTGCTGACTGGATCTCCCTACAAACACCAACTTAAGGAGTCAATCAAATCTATAGCGCAGAGAGGAAAAGGTCGAGGAAGAGCTCGGGGATGTAGTGGAAGGCAGGGTATGCCAAACCCTTCTAGACCTCGCTCGAACAGGCGGGAACCTTCCTCTTCGGATACTACGATGTCATCTGTTTCTTCAGGTAAAACTGCGGTGGCAGAAAATTATACCACACAAGCTCAGCCCACAAGCCACTATGATTATTGTATTTTTTGTTCAGAATATTTCTCAAATAATCAACAGGGTAAAATTTGGATTCAGTGCCAATCTTGTGAGTTGTAGGCACATATTGATTGCTCAGGATGCGAAAAAGAATATTATATTTGTGATTTTTGTAAATAAATTTGTTTCATACTTGTAAATTGGAACCCGNATATCTACTTTTTGTTTTGTTATGAAAAGTTATAGTTCTAATTGCATGTAGTCATTATTTTATTTGTGTCCTTTTGTGAAAAACGTTTTTCAAATATATTATTGTATCAGAACTCCTGTAGTTTTATTTAATAGCACGATCTTAACACAAAAATTAACGGAGCTTAAATTTCTAAAAACTATATTTTTATTCTGACCGTACATAAAAATGTTATATTTTTTAAGTGGTTTTAAAATGGGTTGAGCTAGGAATGTTTTTGGGGTGAATAAGGAACATAAAATTAAAAATTAGTTGTGGGTAGAGTAAGGAACAAAATTGGGTTGAGTAAGGAAAATAATGAGTGGGTTGAGTTTATCGTGGGTCGAATACGGAATAACCCGCACCGTTGTTACGTGCGCGAGCGCACGCATCAATGCACCCGCGTGGTCACGTGGGGTCACTGGCCCGCCCCATGGGGTGATGATTTGTTAACTACCTAATTACCAGTCTGCCTTTAATGAGGGCCGGCATCTATGGTGAAACATGCCCATGGAAGTTTTAGGGAAACGTATTTCGAGGAGTTTTCGTGGTGCATATGGACTAGTTACTAAAAGATGTACAAAAAACAGTCAAAGAAGTAAATAGGAAGATTTCTAGACGATGGCACGTCAAGATAAATACACGGGCATCTATTTACCTTGAATAGGTGCTATATTGCAACAGAAGTGTGTCTAGTAAATATTATGAAACAGTTCCTATTACTCATCATCGGCTATCAGCTCCACGATAAAAGTTGTGTGATTATTTTATATACGAGTACATATCCTCAATTACACAATAAGTAGACCGGAAAAAACATTATGAAAGATGTATAAAATAGCATTACCTTATCCTTTTTAAACTGTGCCCTAGCACTATTTGATGTCAAATAAAAATGTTTTAAAGTGCATTTTTGTAGACCCCACGTGAACCAAATGCCAACACTAATCACCATTTGTCTCATAACTTGACACTCAACACCAACCCTAATAGGGATGTTTCTTGGGTTGAGTTTTAATTAGTCCCTCAGTTAGCTTATCAAAAACTACTCGACACCTATTTTTCACTTTTTAAAACTAATGAAAATGTAAAGAGATAAAGCGTGCCAAAGTTCTAAAGAAAAGGCCCGTGACGTCAGTGAGTGCGTAAAAGTGCAGCACTTTGTGACGTCGCGCGGAACTTCAACGCGCTAAAACTTTATAATTATTTGTGTGATTGACAATTAAAAATGTACGTGTTCAATATTTTTTTATATCAAAATTGACGGACTAAAAAAATGTTTTTAGGAAACTAGCCTATTGACCTCAAGCTTAACCCAAGTCAACAGTATCACCCAGGATTCAGGAACAGTCCACACTAGGGTGGTCAGTCCTATGT